AGTGGATTTTTCTAAATGTAAAATTATATATTTAGGTAATCCGTACTACAGAGATTTTGAATTTTTCCTCATTTTGGAACAAATCTCTCATTACGCACAATAATGTAACACTCTATGTAACACTTCAATAACGTAACAATTCAATATAACACACTAAAAAATTTCTTTGTGTATTTTTCTCAAACGTAATAACATAACACTTCAAAAAAATTCTTTAGTGTATTTTTCTCAAACGTAACACTCTAATGTAACACACTAAAATGTAACACTCCAATCAATATAATCTCAAACGTAATAGTCTAATGTAACACACAAAAAAATACTAAAAGACTCTTCATGTACTTTTTTTCAATTGTAACACTCACAGTTTGAAATTATGCATTTGCCCAAAGGTCACTACGAAATTTTATACTCATTTTGGAATGATTTAAAGAATCCCACATCATTTTTTTAGAATGTTACATTTGAGAAAAGTACACTAAGAAATTTATTTATGTATTACATTGGAGTGTTACACTAACATTGTGTTTGGTTGGGAGATTGGGGAAGGGATTTAGAAAGAGAAATGAAAAAAGTGTGTGAAACTAAAATGAAGGTATATTTTATTTACATTTCACCTAACTTTTCCCTTTTCATTTTCAAATCCCTTTTCAAATCCCCTAACCGAACATAAGGAGTTTTTTTGTAATACTATATTGGAGTGTTACGTTTAAGAAAATTACACTAAGAATTTTTTTTGAAATGTTACGTTTGAGTGTTATATTAGAGTGTTTTAGTTTGAAATTATACATTTGCCCAAAACTTACTAAGGAGTTTTTATACTCCTTTTGAAATGTTTGAAGAATCGCACATTGTTTTGAAATGTTTAAAAATTTTCATATTTCAAGTCATTTTTGTACTCCTTTTGAAATGTTTTCTAAATAAAAAAAAAAAAATTCATATATAAAAATTCATCTCAAATTTGATTCTCATATATTATGTACCTTACCTTTTTAGTACAAAAGAAAAAAAAAAAAGAAAAAAGAAACATAATAGAAATAAGGGTATAACCGTAAATCTAATTTTTAAATAATATATTAAATATGCCTTTCCAAAATCAATGGGACTAATTGATCTATAAAAAAATATTTAGGGTTAAATAAATCACCATTAATCAAAATAAAATTTATAAGTAAATTTTTCATTTTAATATTTATTTATAACGAAACCAAATCAAATGGAATTAAACTTTGCGTATCAATCAATTAGGTCAACTAATTCGTATATTTTTTTTAATATTTATTTATATTCTAAAAAAAACAAGAAGATAAAATGGAAAATTTAGTCAGAATTTTTTAACAAAAAATAAAATCTAAAAACATCCCACTTTCTTAAATAATATAATTAAAAAAATAAAAAAAAATCTCACCATTTCCTAGGACATACTTTTTAAGTTTATTGTAATGAGATTCACATATTCCTTCTCTATAATTCTGGTCATCCAAACATAATCAAATAGAAAGAATTGGTCCATGAAAGAGATATCAGATCAATTCTTGAACTTATTTTTAAGAAAATTCCTAAAATTCAAGTCTCTTCATTTCTTTAACCATTGAAAAAAAAAAAAAAAAAAAAAAAAAAAAAAAAAAAAAACCTTAATTTCTACTTCTTCTATCTCTTTATCTCCTCTCATTTGTGTCATACTAAAGAGCAAAAAATAAAGAAAAAGATAAAAAGCAAATATAAAAAAGAAAAGGGCTCTTTTTTGATAAATCCTATTTGTAACTGTTTTATTCCATAAAACCCAAACTATTTCTGAATATTCCATTAGGTCCATTAATTGTAAAAGGACGAAATACCCCTCCTTCTCCTCTCCCGCGTGTAATCGATTCTACCAAAACCCATTCCCATTCCAACTATTCAATCTACAAAATTTCCAAAACAAAAACTGAATCAGGAAACCAGATTCACATCACAAAAACAAAACCAACCATTTAATATACTATTTATAAGATTCATACATAATATTTCATTTTCATTGTATTTAGATTATAAATTTAAATATTGATTTAAATTTTTTTTTTTAAAAAAAACTTATATTTCATTCATATTATTTAAGGAAAATTGGTTTAACATCCTTCTCAAACTTTTAGTAATAGGAGAGGTACACAATAAATTTTTTTGTAGTCTAAGTTCCCTCACCCATACCCATGTATAACACCCACTCTTTCATTCTCTCTTCTCTCTCTTCTTGCACCAAACAACTCCTCTTTCTCTCTTCTCTTTGTCCACATCATTGTTTAAAGCTTCATTGGCATTGACAACGACGGAGGAATTCGCACTAGCAAGATTTATAAAGCTTTGCCAATAGAGATCGTCGATTTATATAAAGATTCCTGATAGTGCTTTATTCAACAAGACTTATATGAAGCAAAGCACTAGTCCTCATTGTTGTTCCTCCGATCACTAGTCATCTGATGAAGATTCCTCCGTCAACAAATATCACTACCCTTAGAGGACAAATATCAAGAAGCAAAGCATTAGTAAGATTTATAAAGCATTATAGCAGATATGAAAGCAGAAACAAAATGCATCAGTTACATATTCACAAGCACAACTTGAAAATATTCATCATTGTTTCTCTTACTTTTTTCTTGTTTCTTCTTCATTGTCTTTATTGTTGATCTCAATAAACTAAATCTTAAAATCTTCATACAACATTTAATGAGGAAATCTACATAAAAAGATGTATTCAAGAGCTAGGGACATGGATTCAGCAAAGAAGGTATTTGATGAAATGCCAATGAGGGAATGTCTAAGGTCTCTCAAATCAATCCAGAGAAATTTCAATCCAAACCAGAGAATTTCTCTGGACCAACCCAAAGAAAATTCAGTTCAAACCAAAGAATTTCTCTAGTCCAAACCAGAGAAATTCAATCTAATACACGAAGCAGAAGCAACAATCGTTATGCACAAAAGTGAAAGACAATCCCACCAAGAAAACACAACATCTACCTAGTCAAGATGTGCATCTATAGGTACGAACAAAGCCAAAAAAATTTGTGAACAAAGTTGGGACCATGAATTCGTTTAGTAACTTGCTACTATGGATCTTGGGCAGGGCTTCATCTACAGGGTTCAACTCATTTCTTTCGATGTTTAGAGACGTGCGAGATCAAGGTGGCCAAGTTAATCCAGATCTAGCTAGGTAGGAAAATCATACAATACAAAATGCTCACTAAGGATTGGAATATTGGTTGGTCCTTGTATTTTTTGAATGTTTAATTCTAATGTCATTGTAAAGGGTTTTGTAGAAATATTAGTTTATACATAAATGGTTACATAAACTGGATATGGAGTAATGGTCAACAACAACAGTATTATTAATAAACAGAAGTTGAAATAAGAAAAGGAAAGGAAAAAAATTTCTCTAGAAAATTTTCTAGTTTGAACTCAGAGAAATTTCAATTTTCTCTGGTTTGAAACCAGAGAAATTTGGTATTGGTGATGTATAAAATTTTCTCTGTGATGTGTCTAGAGAAATTTGGTATTGGAGATGTGTAAAATTTTTCTGTGATGTGTCCAGAGAAATTTCGTGTAAGTGATGTGTACAATTTGCTCTGTGATGTGTCTAGAGAAATTTGGTGTCGGTGATGTATAAAATTTTCTTTTTGATGTGTCCAGAGAAATTTGGAATTGGAATTGGAATTTTCTCTGTGATATGCCCAGAGAACTTTGGAATTTTCTTAGTGATTTGTTCAGAGAAATTCTCTAAATCGAATTTTCTCTAGATCGATGTTGAGGGACCTTAGGTATTATGAAAATATTGAGTGTCCTTTATGCTATAAAATCTTAATATCCTCATGATATTTTTTTTCATACATGATCTATAGTGAAGCATGAATTAAAAAAATCCTCATGATATTTTTTTTCATACATGATCTATAGTGAAGTATGAATTGAATTCAATCTACACCACATATATCCATTTGTGGATAAATTTGGAGTGCCAAATTCTGAGACCTAGTTTTTTTTGTAAAAAGAACAGTCTATTTGGTTTGTCTCCAAAAACATGTTTGGTTGAAAATTTTTAAATTTTTTTTTCAACTACACATTAATAATCACTTTTTCATTCTCTTCTCTTTTTCTCAATCAATTTTTCTCTTACACCCATTTAATCAACTACAAAAAAAAAATATTAAATCATCCCAACCTCCAACATTTGAAAATTATTTTCGAAATATATAATTAAACAAATTTTCAAAATTTTAAATTCTCTTCAAAAATTTATTTTTAAAATAATATGTCAAAACACAAACCCTATATTTGCTTCCTTTTCCTCCCTTCTCTCTCTCTCCTGGTACACCAAAGACGGACTTGGTTCTCCGGCATTGACTGGATTCCCAGGTAGACCACTTCGGCCACATGGCATAATCGGAGATCGGTGAGCCCAGCTGCACCTGATAAATTTTCCTAATTTTCTTTATTTGGCATTTTTACTCAATTCATGCTTTTATATAGGTAGGTGATTGATTACATTTCTTGCAAAATCGCATGAGATTCTCTACAGATTTCGTGGGTTTAATTTTTCTGTTCGTTTCTATCTAAACCTGTTTATGATAAACATTAAAACCCATCAAATTTATTCAGATTTACCAATTTAACTTTCCTGATTTCTTTCAATTTGTTTCTATCTAAACTTGTTTATGATAAATATTTTTAAATTTTTTTAATAAAAAATGAGTTTTTTAAATAAAAATAATTTATTTTATGAATTTTAGGTTTAATTTATGAATTTTAGGTTTAATAAAAATAAAAATAAGGATGAAAAAAGAAAAAAAGAAAAAAAAAAGACGGGGAAGAAAATAAAGGAGGAGAGAGAAATAGAAGAAAGAGAGAGGGGAGAGAAAGAGAGACGGGTGAATCAGCAAAAGGGGGAAAAAAAATAAAAAAAGAAAAACAAAAGAGGGGAAAGTGAAATGAGAGAGAGAGAGAGAGAGGGAGGGAGACGGTATAAAAAAAAAAAAAAAAAAAAAAAAGGTGAAGACGAAGAAAAGGGAGGAGAAGGAGAAGGAGAAGAAGATGGAGACAGAAGACGAAGACGAAGACGAGGAGGAGAAGAAGAAGAGAGCAGACGAAGAATACCTCAGCTTTTTCAATTGATCTGAACAGGTTAGGGCTCCTCTCCTCTCCTCCCTTCTCTTTCTCTCTTTGTCTCTTTCTCTCCAACCGTTAGGGCTTCGATCCACCTCGTGCGTGTCATTTGCCTTCGATTCGTAGATGTTGGGTTTGAGATCAAACTACTTTTATTCGAAATGCTACAATCTAGAGTTTCCGGTTCTCTTGGATTTAGGGCTTTGATTTGGTATTGACCTAGAGTTCTCTGTACTAATTTTTTCCTTTTCTTTCTTTCTTTCTTTTTCATTTTTAAAAAAAAAAATAGCTAAAGATTTGAAAACTGATGTTAAATTTTTTCGTATAATTCCAAAAACAGAGGATGGTTACGTAATTACCATCATGCCGTAGTTTTATACGCAAATGTTTTTGGGTTGATTTGTTAGCCTGCTTTTTATGAATCCATATTAAGAAATTAGACCAAGTTATGAGCTTTCTCTCTACATTGAATTGGCTTTTCCTTGAGCTTCTTATGGGCTCATGAATTTGGCAACGAAGTGATTATGATGGGTCAAACAGATTATTGTAATGATGATAATATTGTTAGTTTAAACAGATTTATCTCATCTCATGCTTATGTTTCCTGTAGAGCCGATCTTATATTTGTCTTGTTTACTCTATTCTGGGGTGGTATGACCTCACTTTTCTTATAAAAATACAATGACATTCACCATATGTTGTTGGTCCTTATCGAACATCTCTTTAATATTGGATTCATTGCAGGGTAGAAATGTTGATGCCTTGATTTTGTATTGACAAGCTGTGCCCTCTGTGTCTCAGATCCAATTATGATTATCCTTTGCCCTGTAGGTATGTGTATGTATTGTTTCTATCGATTTTGCTGTCAATGCTACTTTCTGAATGTGTTTTGTTTGAGTGGAAGTGTTTTAGCTTTTCATTGAAGTGGATAGGTGAGGTTGTTCAACCATAATTTGATTCAATTTACACTTCTTCTATGCGTCTGCAACATAGTAAGACTTGATTCTTTTACTCTCTTTTTTGATTCAGATAGAAAACTTGAAGATCTAATGATAAATTTTTTGTGAAAATCCAATAAAATTTTAGCACATTTTGCAATAGAGTTTGAAGGCAGTGATTTATTGTGCTCCCGTGGAACAACTTCAAGAAATTTGACTTATTTTGAATTGTTTCAAGTGTCTCTTCGACTAAAAAACTTATAGAAAACAGTAGGTTAAAATAGAATTCAGCATAACAGTAAAACAGAACACAACCTAGTTTGAGATTTATTTAAAATTCATTTATTGGAATTTTCTTCTATTACACAATATACTAGAATCATGGAGGGATTGTCTGTTAAAATTTCATGAAATTACGAGGAAGAGAACTATTTTTAAAAATTCATCAAAGTCAGGCCTCTGCACAATTTCAATTCTGCGCAATCATGAAAACTCACCCCAAAAATAGCTATGCTTTTGCTTTACTAAATTCTCTTTTCATTCCATCTTGTAAACATGATTTAAACTACATAAAAGATCAACTATGAAGCACGGGTACTCCAAAAATAGTGCCGTACAAGTACCGGGTATTTACCGGGTGCGGGTACGCGAACCGGTACGGTGGTATGCGTACCGGGTACGGCAAAAGAGTGTCCGCTACGTTTGGCTCATTTGGGTATGCCATGGGTACGCTAGGACCAATTTTATTTTATTTTATTTTATTTTTCTGCCCTTGCAGATCAGCAATTATTATTATTGTTTTTTTAATTTTTTTTTGTGCCGTTGTAAATCAGTAATTTTGATGTTTCTCTGCTGTCCTGTCTTCTGTCTGTATGAATTGTATAAGCATATCATCAAATCATTTTGATGTTTTTTAAAAGCAATTTGAACCAAAAAAAATAACAAGGCCTATAAAGGGTAGTTCTGTGTATGACTATGCATTATGCTTTTGCTTCAGATCCTCCTAGAATTTCTTTATAAAATCTTTAATCGTAACAAACTTTTAAAGTTTATGCACAAAACATTAAAAATTGGTACTGTATTAGTTGATTAGTAGTAGTTGGGAATGATGCAATTTTATGTATTATGCAAATTGCAATTGACAACCTGCCCCAATTGAGAATTTTTTTTCCTTTACTGTTGGCAATTAACTTTAAATTTTTCTATGGTCTCCTGTTATTTCTTTGGTCTCACCCTATAAAAATAGCAAATTGATGAGCAAAAAGAAAGATTTTAAAAATAAATTATGATCACAAATTCACAGTGCATAACATGTCAAAGTGAGAGATTTCACAAATATTATTTTTAACGCTTAATGGTTTTAAATTATAGGAAAATGAGTAGTATTTTTTTTAGTTTTGATATTTAATTTTAATTTGTAGGTTGGATCCTTTAACCATAATTATATTAAAAAAAAAATAAAAATATCGGCGTACCGTAGCCATACCCCTATCGTACTTTTTTTGAGTTTTGCCGAATCGGCGTACCCGCACTCGTACCCGTACCATACTCGTACCCGCACCCATGCTTCCTTGAAGATCAATAAATTCGTGCTTGAAACAATTTAACAACAAATTAAAAATTGAATTGGAAAATTTACAGACCAAGAACTTTTTGTCAAGCTCTCTAGAAATTGAGTGAAGTTCTGCTTAAGGACTTGTACCTCACACCTCATCGTGTTTCGAATTATTTTGTAGGGGAAGTGTGGTATTGAGAAACAACCTTTTTATTTATTTATTTATTTATTTATTTTTTGGGGAGGGGGATTGCACTAATTGAGACTAGGTGAGGCACAATTTTTAAGGTCACAATTTTCTGGATAAGGAAAATTGCTTCTACGAATCATCTTCTTCCTTTTCTTGGTGCTTTTGCTCTTTCCAAATATCTAGTTAATCATGAATAGTAGAGTCGAGTCCAATTATATCCTTTGTTCTTGTATAGTATTTTGGTTCTTAACTCACAAATCTTTGAAGCCCTTTTAACTGTCTCTTTGTGATGCTAGCTGTTTAGACATAATTGATAGTTACCTAAATCATTTTGAACCGAAATGATGCGGAAGTGGCTTCGGCAGAGTTAGTACTAGTTGTGGAGAAACATGTGTTAGAATCTGCTTCTCTTGATTTTGTTGTTAAAGCCATATTTTTCTTGTTACCAGATACATTCTTGGTGTTATATGGAAAATTCCATTTTGTGGGGTGTCCAATAATTATCCACTTTATTTTATTTATTTATGCATTTATATATTTTTTGGGGGACTTTTAACCTCTTTTCCCTTTTCCTACTTAACAAAAATTCCTCTGTTCCAAGGTATTCTGGAGCCGCATCCTGGAGCTATCGACAGCAGCCCAAGCAAGTCACACCTAGAAATGGGTATGTTGGTATTGGTGAACAATACCTTATAGTATATAGTCTGTAATATTATACCACAATGTATTTTCCAAATAGATGATTTGTGCTGCTAATCTCATATAATTTAGTCAGGACGTTCCAAATTTTTTTCACGATACACGAGGCAGTGATGAACACGGAAGACACAATGTGATTGAAAAAATCCTTCAATCTGCTTTAAAATTGTAGTATAGGATCCACCAGCCCTTTTTGATGAATCGATAGTGAAAGCAATGGAAGCTTCAACACGAGCTAACCTTGTGTGCAAGTTGATGATTAGTAGAGCTTACCTTGATTCCATATTTAATAATATTTTAGTGTTAAACTAAGCATGATTAGAGTTAAACTTGGTCACTTAAGATAATGAAACAATTAGTGGCCTAAGCTAATTATTTCATACAACAAAAGAGAGAAGGATGGAGAAAGTTAGAGAAACTTTTTTCTTGAGAGGTAGAAGAGAAAAGAAAGAGAAATAAGAAGAAAATTAAAGTGTATTAAAATTCATCCATTTGGACTTGAGAATTGAATACTTAGGTGATTTAAAAAACTTTAAGTGCGGTGTTTAAGTTAAACTAAGATCATTAAGTTATAATTAGTCAGTAAATTCTCTATCTTAGAGAATAAGCATGATTAGTTTGAGTTAAACTCGGTCACTTAAGAAAATGAAGTTGATTATATATAAATTTTGGTTTAAATTCACTTAAATGAGTAGCAAAAGCAACCCTACCAATGAAAATCTTTCCCCACATACAAACAGACTACCTGATGAAATACATGTTATAGGAAACTCTCTTATCAACGGTTCATTAGATGTTTCACCGTTATACAAAATGGTAAGGTTTATGCATGATTACAAGTCTCTGGTTCGAGATGACTTACTTTGCCTTGTCTGGAGGAACATCTCTCAACCACTCAAGGTCAATGCTTCCATGTTTTCTAACCATTCGGTTTTAGGAAATCCTGCGTAATTATGTAATCATTATTAAATTTTTTTTTTGTAATTCGTTTATGCATTTAGCTTGTTATTACACACGGCTAGGGCCATTTGAAGGTGATTTTGACAAATTTGAAACTTTTAAAATATGATTTGTACTTGTACCTTGATTTACTCTGCTAGCAAGTTGTTCATTCCTAGTTCTCTAATAGAATTAGAAAAATCTCATTGACATCTGCACATTGTATAGCTTCATAGTCCAGGGAGTCCATAGTAATAACTGATGTACCTTTTTGTGACCAAACTTACCTTTTGCATATAGAGGGCATTAGCACCTTCCAAACTAGGGCAGGATGCCCTTCTTTCGAGGATTGTGTTATTGCCTCTTTGAATGATTTAGTGAATCCTAGATCTCATTTCTAAATTGGGACAGGGCAACGCTACCCCCCAATAGGCATGAATGCAAATTATCTGCGTATGTGATATTTTGGAAATGATTTGAATTGATTCAAGGGATCAACAATGAGAAACACAGTGATTTCATTTCCAAAATCTGGGGAGTCTGATATGGCAGTGATTTGATTCAAAGATTTGGGGGTTCAATTTATGCAGTGATTCATATTTTGATAATGGTTTGAGTAATCAGTAGTAAATTAAGGGGGTGGTTTTCCAATTATAAAGAATTTGAGTTTGAATTTGGGTTTTTACCAGTGTTACAAATAAAAAATAAAAAAAAGGAAGAAGAAATTTTGCCTTTTTAAAATTTAAATCTCCAAAAAAACATGTGATTAAAGAATAAGTTGTAAGAAAAAGAAACTTTCCAACTTAAGTAGAGGCTTGGAGGTTATGGAAGGTGTTTGATTGAATAAGAATCTTTAAATCATTGACATTAGGGGGAATTTCAACTTTTATGAAAAATGGTAGATAAGGAAGTGGTGACCAAATCTTCAATTTTGAATAAAATTCCAAATCCCCCAAAAGATAATTGACTAAGGAGACAATTGTTTGATTAGATACTTGGAATAAAATCCGGAGCTCCTTGGGAGGAAACAATTTTGAAAGAAAATCCGAGTAAAATTTTAGAAATTATGAAAAGCTTTTGATAAGACAGAAATCTTTAGGTTTTTTAAACTATAGAGGGAATTTGATTTTATAGGAAAGTGTTAGATGAGGAGGTAATGACCGAGTCTTTCACTTTGAAATGAAATTTTGAATTTTCTTAGAAGACATTGTTGATTTCTTCGAATAAGATCTTAAATTTCTTGGAAATTTTTTGAAAATAAAATTTTAGTAGAGTCCGGAAATTATGGAAAGTTCTTTTCATCGAGTAAAAATCCTTGGGCCACTGACTTTGAGGGAACCATAATTTTATGGAGAAATATTAGACAAGGGAGTGATGACCAAGTCCTTCATTTTGAATAAAATTTTGGTTTCTGTATAAGATATTTGGCTAAAGGATGATTGTTTGATTGATTCCTTGGAATAAAATCCGAACTCATCAAAACATTTGAAAAAAAAGAGGAAAGGAAAACTTCTAAAATTTAAATAAAAAAAGGCACTTTATTTTGAAAAAAATCTGCAGTTGAAATTTGATTGCGCACTTTTGAAGGTAAATTGGGGCACATTTCGGGAAACAATAAATAATGGAAAGACAATTGATTGGATTGATCGCTCTGGTAGGAATCATTAAAATTCCTCAAAATTGCCTTGGTTGGGCAACTATCACCCAATGGGTGATGATGATGACTTCGAGATGTGACGGTAAGTGTTAAACAAAATTGACTGGGTCCACTCACCTATCCTCAAGGTGTGGTGCATAATATCCAAGACACTGTTTGTGGGTTATGTTATGCCAACAAGGCAAGCATCAGATTGTGCTGCTAGTACTGTTTGATCATTCCCTTGTGGAAGGAGTGGTATATTGATAGTAATAGTTGATGTACCTTTTTGTGACCAAGCTTACCTTATGCATGTAGAGAGCATTAGCGCCTTCCAAACTAGGGCATGATACCCTCCTTTCTAGGATCTTATTATTGCCTCTTTGAATGATTTAGTGAATCGTAGATCGCATTTCTAAATTGGGCAACCCTACCCCCCGATAGGCATGAATGCAAATTGTGTGCTTATGTGATATTTTGAATCTGATCTGATTTAATTCTAGAGATTAACATTCAGAAAGACTGTGATTTATTTCCCAAAATCTGGGGAGTCTGATATGGAAGTGATTTGATTTTGTTGCAGTTCGAGTTATTTGGGGCAATGATCCAATTACAAAGATTTGAGGATTCAACTTAGGCTGTGATTTGTATTTTGATAATGATTTGAGTAATCAGTAGTAATCTTTTTTTTTTTTTTTTGGGGCGGGGGGGTTGTTTCCCAATTTTAAAGAATGTGAGTTTGAATTTGGGTTCTTTCCTTAGTGATCAAAAAAAGAAGATTTTTTGCCTTTTTAAAAATGAAATCCCCAATAAAACATGTGATTAAGGAATAACTTCTAAGAAAAAGAAGCTTTCCGACTTAAGTAGAGCCTTGGAGGTTATGGAAGGTGTTGGATTGAATAAGAATCTTCAGGTCATTAACTTTAGGGGGAATTTCAACTTTTATGAAAAATGCTAGATAAGGAAGTGGTGATCAAATCTTCCATTTTGAATAAAACTCCAAATCCCCGAAAAGACAATTGACTAAGGAGACAATTGTTTGATTTGATACTTGGAATAAAATCCAAAGCTCCTTGGGAGGGAAGAATTTTGAAAGAAAACTCGAGTAGAATTTTAGAAATTACAAAAAATTTTTAATCAGACAGAAATCTTTAGGTTTTTTGACTTTAGAGGGAATTTGATTTTATGGAAAAGTGTTAGATGAGGAGGTAATGACCAAGTCTTTCAATTTGAAATGAAATTTTGAATTTCCTTAGAAGACATTTGACTATAAGGTAACTGTTTGATTGATTTCTTGGAATAAGATCTTAAATTCCTTTGAAATTTTTTGAAAATAAAATTTGAGTAGAGTTCGGAAATTATGGAAAGTTCTTTCATATAGCAAAGATGCCTGGGCCACTGACTTTGAGGGAACCTTAATTTTATGGAGAAATGTTAGACAAGGAAGTGATGACCAAGTCCCTCATTTTGAATAAAATTGTGGTTCTTGTATAAGATATTTGGCTAAAGGATGATTGTTTGATTGATTCCTTGGAATAAAATCCGAACTCAAAATATTTGAAAAAAAAGAGGAAAGGAAAACTTTGAAAATTTAAATTAAAAAAGGCACTTTTTTTGGAAAAAGGATTTTGAAAAAAAATTGAAGTTGAAATTTGATCACGCAATTTTGAAAGTAATTTGGGGCACATTTCAGGAAACAGTAAATAATGGAAAGACAATTGTTTGGATTGATCACTCTGGTAGGAATCATTAAAATTCTTCAAAATTGCCTTGGTTGGGCAACTATCACCCAATGGGTGATGACGATGACTTCGAGATCCGACGGTAATTGTTAAACCAAATTGACTGGGTCCACTGTCCTCAGGCTTGCTGCATGATATCCAGGACACTATTCGTGGGTTATGTTATGCAAACAAGGCAAGCATCGGATTGTGCTGCTAGTACTGTTTGATCATTCCCTTGTGGAAGGAGTGGTATATTGATAGTAATAGCTGATGTACCTTTTTGTGACTAAACTTACCTTTTGCATGTAGAGAGCATTAGCACTTTCCAAACTGGGGCGAGATACCCTCCTTCCTAGAATCGTATCATTGCCTCTTTGAATGATTTACTGAATCGTAAATCTCATTTCTAAATTAGGACAGGGCAACCCTATCCCTCGATAGGCATGAATGCAAATTATGTGCTTATGTGATATTTTGAAACTGATCTGATTTGTTTCCAGAGATCAACAATCAGAAAGACAGTGATTTCTTTACCAAATTTGGGGAGTCTGATGTGGCAGTGATTTGATTCTGTTGCAGTTTGAGTTATTTGGGGCACTGATCCTATAACATAGAATTGGGGGTTCAAGTTAGGCTGTGATTCATATTTTGATAATGATTTGAGTA